AGAGGGAACGCTGAAACCTAAGTGCCTGCAGAGGGTGACTGACTCTGCTGCTAAGTCAGCTGAAGACAGTGGTAAAACTCTAGAAATGCTCAGGCATTGGAGGCCCAGATACCTGAGAAAAGCGGGGGGAAAGACATGGAGCTGAAGACAGATTGGTTTAAAAGCTACATAAAATAAATAAATAAACCTACATAAAATAGCAGTTAGGCTCCAGGTACCCCCCTCCACCTCAAGCAATGAGACCACCCAATCCCCACCCCTATAGGAGACTGGGTACTTATTTTCTGGAGAGATTGAACGCAATAGCGTCCAGATTTGGGACCATCGGGCACCACGGGAGTGAGGAACAAGATTGAAACCAGGGCCACTAAGTGAAACCCTGAAATTGAACAATGGGACCCCAAATCACTCTTTTCTGTTCAGCTTCCATCAGCAGCCGTCTATTCATTTACCTCCCTTTCCTCCCTCACTGGGAGGAGACAGGGATCCCATTTTTCCTCAGCTAAAACTAAATGGCCTCAGAGAAAAAATTTAAAACCTACAGACACAGAAAAGTCAAAACTATAGAGACAGTAAACGGATCGGTGGTTACCAGAGACTTGGAGAGGGGAAAAGGTTGAATAAGTGAGGCACAGGGAGTTTTCAGGGCAGTGAAATGATTCTGTATGACACAGTGACTACATGACATGATACATTTGCCAAAACCCATAGAACTTTACAGCACAAAGAATGAACTTTAATGTATGTAAATTTTAAAAAGTATCTAAGAGGTCAGGAATGCAACAGAAACAGTGACTTCCTCCCAGAATCCGGTATGGAAAGGGGAAAAAAGGGCAACTTTACTGTGAAAAACCTGACAAACTACTTCAATCACATGGTAAGTCATGTTGACAGTATGTACCGTTGATACGAGGTGATGAGATGGCACTTTACCTCTGTGCTCTTCCTCCCATAACCCCAGTCTAATCGTAAGAAAAACAGACAAATCCCAACTGAGGAATATTCCACAGAATACGCAAGTAGTAATCCTCAAAGCTGTCAAAGTCATCAAAAGCAAGGAGGAGCCAAGAGGAGTTACGACAATTAAATGTAATGTAATTAAATGTAATGTGGTAACCTGGATGGGATCCTGGAACAGAGGAAGGACATTAGGTAAAAAACTAAGGAAATCTAAATATCTGTGGACTTTAATTAATAATAATGTACCAATCTTGGTTCACTAATTGTAATAAATGTACCATACTAATGTAAGATGTTAACAGTAGGGGGAGCTGGGTGTCAGTATATGGGAATTCTTCATACTATCTTTGCAACTTTTCTGTGAATCTAAAACTTTTCTAAAATTTTTTAAAGTTTAATTCTAAAAAAACTCTACAGATACTGACATTTGGGGAATACACTAAAAAAAAGCGAGACTACCATCCAACCATCCTGCATCAAAATCCAAAAGGCAAGAAGTCTGTAAACAGCTGGCCATTAGCTTAACTGCTCACTTTTAAACGTGGACATAGGCAAGGATCACTAGACACTTGAGAAAAGTTTCCAACAATAAAGGCAGAAAGCAAACCAAACAAGAAAAAAAAATTAGAAAGAATGTAGCAAACAGATGAAAACTGAAACAAAAACTATAGTATCTGGAGATATTACAGGTAGAGGTTTATATATTTTAAAGCTTTGAATCAGGGAAGGGAAACCTTAGCCTGATTCCCTTATTCACTTGCTCATAATAGGTTTGAGTTGGACACACACAGAATGACTGCATCATAATTACAGACTCCCAGTTCTGAGCCATAAGACTTTGATGATTTGTAATGATAGTTTTGTGTATTTGTGATGCGCAGTAAGTCATTTTTCAGAAGACCAGTTTCATTTTGCAGACTTACACTCTTCCACAAATATAACGAACAAAACACTACAAGTCATCGGTTATTATTCCCAGCCAGTTAGGTACCAGCCACATTTTATTAAGTTACCCAGGTCTGTGGTGATAGAACTGAGATCAGCATCTAAGCCTCAGTCCACACCCCAAGTTGATGTTCGGTGGAACGTCCAATAACCTAGACAGTTGCTTTCAGCCAAGTACCTCAAAACCTGTTAGAAAACTGCAAGGGAAAAAAGGGCTGTGTTTTAGAAAGAGAACACAACCATAGTGAAATGAACACCTGGAACTTAGCTGGCCCTGCAGCCTGCCAAGAAAGATAAGTGACATCTCAAGCTTGTTGCAGAGAAGGAAGACAAAGCTGCTTTCTTGGTGACAATTTTAAGCACATTGCAGAGAATTATCCAGGGCCACTCCAGTATTGTTTTGCTTCACATAATGCCATCTTTCTTTAGTCTCTTCTGCTTAACCAGTGTCCTCCTTTCCCTGCAAAGAAGGGAAAGGTGAAAGGGCAAACTATTGATCACTTTTTATTTATAAAAGCTCTTTAGCTAAATGTTTAAGCAGCTTTTCCCTTCAGCATGCCTCACCCCCACCTCTCTTATTTGAGGCTTTGTAAACTTTTAACTCGCCTAAGTTTTCAAGTGTCTTGCCTAAGTCTCTTCTCTGAATTACCAACTCTGTTCCCAAACTAAAGAAAATGGAAGAGTTAACAACACTTTCATCACTTAAATACAATGGGACCAAATCCATTATGCAGTTCAGTTCATGGGTATTTCTTGTAACCACCTGTATAAGAAGGACTATGTCTGCTATGGTGTGTAAGTCACCAAAGTAAATTCTAGAAGCTGCAGTTGCCCTAATACAGAATGTCAAAAAGAGATATGCCCTTCCAGGCATTTCACTATTTACCCACAAGCAAGGCAGAAACAGAGTCAGTTCCATCCATTCAGCGTTTATTTCCATGAAGGCAAATGTCAGAAGAATAAATTGTCATCTCAGTTAAATGAAATACCATCTTACCTCTGAACTACCAAAGAAAAAGCCAGAGAAAGATGACGGCCTTGACAAACCTCGGCTCTGTTCCCAATCTGAACCAAATCAGGTTTAATCCCTGCTCAAGTCAGCCTCAATTCAGCAGTTGCTCAGGAAATTAATTCAGTTCTCAAAATGATGTAAGAGCTCAATTCACAGCCCAGAATGAACCTAAACCTTCAGGTTCATTTATAAAACACTCCATGTGTGCCAGGCCCTGTGCTAAATGGCACATCACCATATTTAACCTCCTGAACACCTCTAAGTAGCTGTACTGAGCATCTTCCTCAGATGTGGCAATCCATAGAGGGCAATGTCACAAAGCCAGCAGTGATGACAAAAACTGAACCAGGTCTGTCCAACTCCAAAGTTTACACCTTACTTACTTACTCATTCATTCATTCATTCAGATTGTCGCTCTGTCACCCCAGACGGAGTGCAGTGGTGTCATCATAGCCCACTGCAATCTCAAACTCCTAGGCTTAAGTGATCCTCCTGCCTCAGCCTCCCAAGTAGCTGGGACTACAGGAACAGACCATGATGCCTGGCTAATTTTTTTCTATTTTTAGTAGAGACAGGGTCTCGCTCTTGCTCAGGCTGGTCTCGAACTCCTGAGCTCAAGCCATCCTCCCACCTCGGCCTCCCAGAGTGCTAAGATTACAGGCGTGAGCCACCACACCCGGCCTCACAGCTTATACCTTTAAACTCCGTTTAGCTGTATTTCTAACCAGGGTTGAAAACTTTGTTGTACAAGTAGAGGCCACTATGCATCAGACTGGCCTTTGGACAAGGGAAGATCACCCTATTAAATAAAATAGCCCATTACCACCACCCCTCATCACTCTTTCCTTAATCTTTCTAGCATTGATTTCTGAAATTACACCCATTCCGTTCACAAAGACTGTGCTTCTGCTATATTCCAGACGGTGAACTAGACAGACAACAATCTCTGTCCTCACGGAGCTGACATTATTTATTTGTTAACCTGTTCCTATCTGTTTCCCCTACCAAATAAGTGCTCCATGAGGGAGCTCTTGCTTACTGAATATTTCCAGCACCCAGAACAGTCTCTGGTACATGGGTATAACAGACAGCAGTATTTGTCAAAGAATTCCACCCATGACATGCTCAGCAACGGTGTAGGAAACTGGTCAAACAAT